GCGATAGGTCCAAATAACATACTACGCAGCGGGATAGCTAAGCAACCAACTAGCAATTTAATATGGTCCATGGCGAGACAACTAGCTAAGAATCTTACCTAGGAGATCGAGAATTTCGCACCATATCTAAGTTGAACTACCCCGCTCTTCCGGTTTCCTAGTGAATACGCATCATATCCCTTCCAAAATTTTCTCAAATTTTCACTGTGGTAGGAATCACGACAACCGAACATGCATAATCTAATTTTTTATTTTAAGCATGGATGATGGAACAAGCTGGTGAAATGAATTTCTATCAACGTACGAAAAGTTTGATAGGACATGGCCTCATCAAATTCTTCTGGAGAAGGTGACTATTCTTTTTGCGAATTCCGAAGCGCTCTCGTTGCTAATTCTGCCATGTCCATTACAGACTCATCGCCGACCCTGAAACGGCACTGTTCCGTGAGATGATTAGTGCTGACTTCCCAGACCTGCTCGACTTGGCATCAAAATGTCCATTGGTAAGGAATATTCAAATGATGTAGGGTGTAAGCCTTAATTTGGTCTTCTTCGTCGCTACGATAATCGAAAAGACAACAAGCTGAGCCTTTGCAAAAACTCTAAAAAGTATACCGACATGTCGGCTTTCAGTCAACCTGCAGAACTGCAGAATAAAAAGGGCTCGCCGTAGAAGAGTTTAGAGGGACTTCTCAGTTCAATTTGATATAGGTACGGTACCATACTGTTGAGAAGTGCACAAAGCATACCTCATCCTGTGCCCCACGATAGCTACCAAGAGCGAAGCGATTCCGTCTAGCGAGTCCAGTCGAAGTACCTTCAGATCACTTAGAGTTCTCTGTTTCTGCAAAGCACTGTGTAGGCCAACCACTCATCCAAACTCCCCGACAGTTCTGAGTGGATCTTGAGCGTATGATGCATCCCATAGAGAATTGATCATATCTAGAGTCTTCCGTCTTCTTGCCGTTGTACAGCGGCATCTTTATTTGTCCATTAAGAAGTGTCTAGTGTGTCAATTCATATAGAACTCTAGATCATGGCGAATACCAATGATTTCTACGAAATACCTCGACCAACGCTAGCCAAAGTAGTGAACATTGGTGGTGTAGGAATGACAACACGAGATGTGAAGCCGCTGCCCAAGGTATATTTTAAATGATTTTTTTCCAAATTCTGATTTTATACTTTCTATTCGAGTTAGACCTATTTTTTATTAAGGACATAGAGAAAATTATGCAAAAAGGAAACGGAGTTGTGCTATTCTCGTTTGGATCAGTTGCTGCAGCTCATCAAATGCCCCAGGAGTGGAAAGTGATTTTCATGGAGGCCTTCAAGAAGCTTCCTAATTATCAATTTTTGGTTAGATATGAAAAGGATGACCTGAACGGTAATTTCTTCAGCTCGATACTCTTTGCCGTGATGGTTTTTGAAGTAAGAATCCTCTGCATATCCTTTATTTTAGACATGCTCCCCGAGAACGTACACTTATTCCAATGGCTTCCCCAGTCAGACATTCTTCAACACCCCAAAACCAAGGCATTCATCACTCACGGTGGTTACAATAGTGTCCAAGTAAGTGTTTTACAACAACATTGGGTTTTCGGATTGAAAAGGAGCAATAACGGTGTAATAGGAACTATACTCCCATCAAATTACTTGAGAATAAATTTCTTAGAAAAGAACCAGGAATATTGTGGTGCGTGGCACTATAGTGATCCTTTTGGTCCCGTTCCGAACCACTCATTTTCACTCCGACTAATGCTTTCTTTCGGTTCTACCCTCCCACAACAAAAGAAACGTTGCGTCGGCCATCAATCAAGAACAATAGTATACGGCTCCAATCTTTCCCATTTAAAGGGCTCCCAGTAGAAATTTGTCTGCATGGCGCATACAGAGAGTACTCTCTGGCTCTGTTCTGTCTCTACTGGACATTGTACAGTTGGGGTTGTAACTAGACCTAGGCTGACAGAAGCCGCGTAACCATCTTATCTCTCAGAGGCCTTACAGTTACAGCTGTACCGGAATCTAGGTAAAAGCAAGGTGTCGGCATAATTCCTAGATGGGAATGGCCTCTGAACATATCATTTTCATTTGGAAAATATTATTTCAATTT